ATTCATTGGTGGATAAAGATTTTGTGAGTTCCAATCCACCAATAAATTAATGTGCCAACTCATTGGTGTTTAGGATAAAATGAGCACCGGTGCTCATTAGATCATTTCTGTATATATATATATATTTCAAAAAAAAATTAAAAATATATATTTATATAAGTTGGACCGGTTAAACCGAGAACTGATCACAAGTTTTCCAAAAATTGGCCAATTTAACGAGTTCTGAGGTGAGTTTTTAACTAGAGATTTTATAAACCTAATCGGACCGATTTGGTTCCAAGTTCCCAATTTTCTCGATTGAAGCGGCACGATCAGTCCAATTTTTAAAACACCTGTGTATATAAAATAGCAAACCCTCCATTTCATATATAATTTAAAAAAAAAAAATTAAACCCATTAGATGATCTAAATAATTAGCGAACTTCTGTCTTTAAAATATTTAGTTTTTTATCTTTATTTTTTATTTTTATCAATTTTTTACTATGTCTTTCTGATTTCATGTGCTTAGTATTTGACTTGTGGATTAAAAATTTCTGGGGTTTTAGTTTTTTTCTTTTTTATATTAAAAAAATTTCTTCATTTTTCATTAATAATTTGTTATTTACATTGATGTCTAATATTTGCTCAATTTCACAAAAGTATTAGTGTGAAATATAATTAGCAAGAAATTATAATGAAAAATGAAGAAACTCTTTTTAGTGAAAAAAAAGGGTAAAAATTGCAACATTTGTCCCGACTTAGTACCCTTGCAGCTTCTTGGTATGTGACTTATTTTTTATTGACATCATCACAAACGTTTCAATTTTTGTAACGTCAATCTCTATTTTCGAACAATATACAGTTGGAAAATCCAAACTCCCATCAGTTTTCCTTAATGGGACCTAAAAATCTACTGCATCTGTGTGTTTTGCTTAAAACAAAAAAAGTTTCTATTTTCTGACAACTGAACTTCGTATTTATTGAAAATACAATTATACTTTACTTTTAGTTAAAGTAAAAAAATAACATAAACAAAAAACCAAAAAAAAAAAAAAATGACGAAAGAAGAAGCTCACTTGCTCCTGTCCCTAACTTAGTTGTCGGAGGTGATTCTTCCCTTTCTTGCTTGCTGTTGACGGCGACTCCTCATTTGTTTAGATTGACTCTCGAGGAGTAACCTTGTCTAGTGCAGAATCTGAGTTCATAATTTTTATAGTCTCGACTCAAAAAATGTTTTTCATAAAGAACAGCGTGGAAAAGCTGGGTGGATTATCATATATATCAATTTCTAGCACCTTCAAACACCTCGATATCGTGAATGCTCAAGTTTTTCTTTGTTAACCTCTAGCAATAACATGACATTGTCTTCAAACACCTAAGGATCATTGACATTACATACATAGACATCATGGAAAATGTCTTAATTACGGATGGCTAACAGAGTGGAGGGATAACAAGAGATTATCAGTCAATATGTGGTGGCCAATGGTTGCGAAGGTGACAAGTTGTGTGCAAAAAGGATGATGTTGAAGTCGATAAAGAGTTCAAGACCATCAGGGAGAATCAATTTCACTCTTGGTGAATAGGTGAAACCTCCACATTAAGTGCGGGGCATTTGGCCGTGGTTTGAGAAAAAGTACTCCAGTGAAGAGGAAGTTGGAGTTACTTCATAAAAGATTAATAATATATACGTGAAATTCATGTTTTGGGTGTGCCTATACAAATTTTGAACTCAGATTTGCATTAGACAGGAGTGCTCCTTGTGGTTCAATCCCAACAAACGGGGAGCCGTCAATGGGAGGTAAGGGTGGGTAAAGTTGTCGTCGACAACTAGAGTGGGAGCAACTAGATTGAAGTTTAAGTGGGGCTTCTTTTATTTTCCCATTTTTGGTTCATATTATTATTTTTAACTAAAATTAAGACTATAACTATCTCTTTGATAAAAAATAAATTATTTTCCATTAGTCTAATAAACAGAAGCCATCCACTAGAGACCATCGATGGTACAAAATTCTATCTAAGACTGTAAACAACTCCACTAAAAAAATGTAGTTTAAGGATCAAGCTGCCATAAAAGTCATAACTTAGAGAGCAATGAAAATTTTCTTTAAAAGAAACCTTAAAAATGTTAAATCTGGAAATATTTTCTTAAAGGCCAAATACTGAAAAGTCAAATCTTAAAGAAGAGAGGAAAATGGAAAAATAAAATAAAAATCCGCTCTTGGAACAGCCCACTGGAAAGCCAACAATGGCCCGTGGTTTTCATTTCCTCCCTCTTTAAAACCAACTGTAAAATGTAACCCCTTGCTCATGTACCCCATACACTCAACCCCCCCCCCCTTCCCGCTACCCTCGACCCACAACCCACCAAATCATCCTCATCTTCATCCTCATGCATAAACTGCACAGCAGATATGCACACTTTCACATCTCAATCAATCTTTTAACCTTCTACAGAAATTTTTAAGTACATGTAGTAGTTCTGTATAGGGTTAGCACCTATTTATATATATAAAGCTGTTTCTTCGACTGCCCAACATTCTTTTCTCTTCTTTTCTTGGTTTTTTATATCATTTTTTTGAAGTTCTTGAAAAACCCATATCAAATTTTATATTTTTGTGTATTTTTTTGGATGCAAATGGGGATTGAGCAAAACGGGTCTGGTGGGAAAGTGAAGGGGAGAAATGAATCGAGGAGGAACAAGCGGAGGCAGAAGAAATTATCGCCAGTTCAGAAGATGTATGAAACCTGCCAAGAAATTTTTGCCTATTGTGAATCCGGTGTTGTTCCGGCAACTGAAAAAATCGAAAAACTTGCGGCTTGTTTGGGTATGAATTAATCTTTTCCCTATTGTAATTCTCAATGTTGTTGTGTTTCTCAATCATTGAATCTTTTTTTACCTGTGTCTTTGTCTTTGCGATGCATTTTTTGCTTCGTAGGAAGATTATTCTAACTTTCTTGCCATTTTTTTGTACAAGAAGTGTGGAATTTTACAGCAGTAATTTCTCTGGCATTCATAGAATTTCTGTTAAATTTTTGTGGTGTCTGAATTTTTCAATAATTGGTTTGATTGATTGGTTTTAATGCATTAAATGGCTTCATGTTTTATAATAAAAATGCTGGTAATGCTGTCACATTTAGAAACTGCTTCATGCACGACGTAATTTATTTATTTGACTGGAAAAAAGTTGTTGGTCAAAATCTATCAACCACATCGATTATGACGAAGGGTCTCGGAGGAATTCGTCTTTCCTTTTGCAAGCGATATCGACCCTATTGACGGATTTTGATTAATACTAGAACAGTATGAATGCCACATTTTTCAAGCGTATCAATGTTACCTTTTTTGTAAAGCTTATTTTAATATAAAATCAAATTTCTTATTCATTTTATATGGTTTCTGGCATTTAATTCTCAACGTGGGGTCGTCTCATTTGAAAGATTATAGTTTTGGGTTACTCAATATGATTAGACGAGATTTCGGCTTTCCTCTTCTTCCTTTATGTTCAATACAAGTCCACGTATCATACAAGCAGTAAATGTCTCCTTGTTCATGGCTAACAAGGATTTTAAACCGAATAAATTCCTGTGTGCATACAGATTTGCGAGCTGCTATGTTATTTCAATTTCGAGTCCTACTACAAGCTAAATAAACTTAATTCTTGCAGATACAATGACTCAAGCAGACGTCGGCCTGAAGCCAAATATGCCATTTTTTGACGATAAAAGAGCTCCCGTGATAACCTATATGCACCTTCATAAGTGTGAAAAATTCTCGGTAAGTATGCTTTGCATCCCGAAACCCCATACTGTAAACCTGCCTCATGCCCCCACCCCCGCAAAAGTAAAATCCCATTTACTGTGCTGATTGGTAACTATTGCAGATTGGGATTTTTTGCTTGCCACCTTCGAGTGTCATTCCTCTTCATAACCATCCAGGAATGACGGTTTTCAGCAAGCTTCTCTTCGGGACCATGCATATCAAGTCGTATGACTGGGCGAATGAGGTGGATAAGAACCCTGATGGCACAATTGTGGATACTAATCCTCCAAAAAGTATGTTCTTTGAAACTATATATTGGCCTTTTAGGACATTTTGTTAACTCTATGCTAATTTTGTTTGAACTTCTTTTTTGTCGTGTTTATGGGAAATGGCAATTGAACCTTCTTGTCGTTTTATTGGCTCATATCGAAACTTATCTTAAAGAAATTTCCATTCTCGCCTCTTCATAAAAGGTAGCTTTCATTCAAAACAAAGAAGGAAATTGCAAATCCTCGAAGTCTTCTCGTCTTTGGGGTATATAGCATGTTGCGCCGTGCGTGCTTGTCCACCTTCGATAACTTTATCTTAGCTAGACTGAGGTCATTTATTGCTGTTAGTATTGCGTGAATAATCTTCTATTTCCTAATGCAGGTCATCCTGATGGTTTGCGCCTGGCAAAGCTTAAGGTCAACTCGGAGTTTACGGCTCCTTGTAGAACTTCCATTCTCTATCCAGCTGACGGTGGCAACATGCACTGCTTCACAGCAAAGACGGCATGTGCTGTACTGGACGTGCTTGGCCCTCCATATAATGATCCCGAGGGTCGTCATTGCCAGTACTACTTTGATTTCCCATATGCGCATTTTTCAGGTATAGCACTGCTAATTTGGTACCCTTTGTGCTCGTGCCTTTGCCAGCGTTTTCATTTGTACTTAAAAGTTAAGACACCCAGTGCACGGTTAGCACATAGCATTAGACCCTTTCATAGATCTTAGTTTCTTTATCTTTAATATTGTTCAGTCAATAAATGGTTTCTAAGATGAGTATATGATTGCTTTCCAAGATCCTAAAATGATTCTCTTTATAGTGTGACAAAATGAGGATTTCAGCACCTCTTTGAAAGAGAAAAAATCATGGATGTATGATTTTTGAGGTCCATGCTTTTAGACATTGTTGTCCAATTCTGGAAAATTGGCATTCCATTTTAAGTGCGTTCCTTGGAGGTTTATATACAAGAAATATACAAGTTTCTGCAAGCATGTGGAATATGTTTCTTACTTATTTTGTTAATTTTCACGTTGAAATTCAGTCGACGGTTTGTCCGTGGACGAGGATAAGAAGGCTCAGCATGCATGGCTTAAGGAGAGAGAGAAACCCCAGGACTTAAACGTAGTAGGAGTGTCGTACAACGGACCTAAGCTATCCAAAAAGTGATAGCCAGCAACAGCATTTGCAGTGGATAACTCATTCTATTTCCCTCCTCAATCGCAGGATTGTACATGCTCAGGCGGTTTAAGAAAACTAGTTTCTATATGCAAAGGACCTTAGTTTGGAAGTGCGTTTAAAATGGAAATATGAATTATATTTCTTTATATATATTTCAAATCTTGCTATTATATATTACCGTACTAGTTTTGGTGTAATGACTTCGTGCCTCCTGGCCTAATTTAAACTTTCGTATACAGATGCAAACTAGTGCAGGAGTGAAGCAAGCCATTTGTGTGGGAACCAGAGTAGTTGAAGTATGGAAATTTGCTGGTTTAGGGTATTCTTAATTATGACCACAAACGTATCATAACTAAATTATGCCCCGTTTGGGCTCAATTAAAATTACATCGAATCCGCACAACCTAACAAACTCTAATTCATTTGACACTCGGCATCATTTCACACGATCTCCTCCTGTTGCTACTTCGTTTCTCACCTGGAATCTTCCTCCTAAGCACCTCCGTCGATGACAGGTGCATTGGCGGCGTGCAAATGGCCGCTTAGTGCCACTGTGAAGCAATAGCAATGCCAACCTTATCATTGCAACTTTGTGCACAGCTGCGATCTATTGTCTCTGTCCCCCCGCCGCGATGTTGCCGTTGCTTCATGCGCAACAACAATCTATTTTCTTTGTTCCGATCTCCTCTGTTCTCTCTTAAATTGTTTGGTGTGGTGTGGTATAGGTGAAGAAAATGAAGAATTTGAGGAGGTGGTGGTGGTGGTGACTACGGGTTTGGGGCTTATTTTGGTGGGGATGGTGATGGTGTGTTAGATATGGTGAGGTAGTTGAGTGTGGTGCTGGAGAGATGGTAGTGCTGACGACGGTGGTGCAGGTGTTTGTGCGGCAACATCTGTGGCAGTGGTTTTGGCGGTGGTCATAAATGTTGGGGGTGATGGTGTGATTGTGATTAATAAAATTGGTTACTTTGTGAGCAATGTGACCTAAAAAAATATGAGACTATGAGTTAATTTGTAATTGCGGCTCATAATTTGCTATTTGTGATTAATTAATTTGATAATTTGCGATCGTAATTGTAACCTATAAAATTTGTGATTTATAACTGTGACATTTTGTAATTGTGAATAGTCCGTAACTGTGGCAATAAATTATAATATCACAATATATTTAATTAATAATTTTTAATTATAACTTGATTTTTTAAATTTAGAAGCATATTTCTTATTTTTGAAATTGTATATTTTAAACATCTTATATTTGTATTGTTCTCGTTTGTTGGGTTGTATGGATTGGAGGTGGTAGGTTAATTAAATTAATAATATTATTATTAATACTAAAAAATAAATTACGAACTGATTTTTGTATAATTAATTCTTAAACTTGATTTTTGAAGTTGGAAGTTAAAAAACATGGATGAATTTAATTTCTACGGGAACGTTAGATATATAAGGTGATTGTAAAATACAATTTCAAAATTAAGAAATTAGATTTATTATTTCAAAAATCAGGTTTTAATTAAAAAATATTTTAGTAATTAAATATATTAAGGCCGCAATATTATACAATTTATGATTACAGTTACGTACTATCACAATTACAGACACCACAATCACAAATTTTTGTTACATTTTATTTCTCGATCATAAATTATCAAATTAATGGGTCACGTATTATTTTTCGATTACAAATTTTATAGGTCACAATTTCTTTACTGGTCATAATTTATCAAATTAATACGTCACGTATTATTTTTCGATCACAAATCATAAATTTTATAAGTCACAACTCATTCCACAGTCAAATTATCAAATTAATTAATCGCAGTTATTTCTCGATCACCAATTATTAAATTCATTGGTCAAGATTACAAATTAAGTTGTAATCTAACATTTTTTTAGGTCACAATATTTATAGGTCACAAATTAATCAATTTATTGGTCACAATCAACTAAATAATTAATCACAAACACTATTCTTCCCACCCCACTTTTCCCCTCCCCCAACATCGCCACTGCCATCATCACCGCCAACATCACCACCACACTAGCATCGTCACTACCTTGACCACCACCACCAACTGCAGCTAACCTAGTGGACTCGGGTTGTCATAATAAACATAACTAATGGCAAAATCGATGTTGTAGCAGTGACATGCGCAAACGTCACCGTCACATTTGCGCAAAGGCATCGACCGACGTCTCTGGAGTTTGCAACGGCTAACTGCTCTCAAAGCGACTACGACGATGGTGCCTCCAATGTATGGTATAAGGGAGGGAGGGAGAATGAAGAATGGAAAGGGGAAAATGATTAAGGTTTGTAAGTGAAATTTGATGAAGTTGATGGAGGTAAGGTGAATATATAGAGGAAAAGAATACATGTACATAATATATGTACATAATAGTGTCCATAATGTGATGTGGATAAAATTCTGTAAATGTAAGATTTGAATTAATGGTTGGATCCAGTGCCACGTGTAATTATGGACACCGTTATGTACAAAATTATGTACATGTAGCACTTCCCATTTGATTATTGCTGGAAGTCAGTAAATGAAAATGTTGACATTATCGCTAATTTAATTGTACATAATTTGGTCACTTAATGGTATCCATAATGTGATGTGGATAAGATCAAATTTGAGATTTGAATTAAAGGTTGGATCCAGTGCCACGTGTAATTATGGACACCATTATGTATACATTTATGTACATGTAGCACTTTTCATATATAGATTTATTTAATTTTATGATATTATTATTAATAATAAAATGTGAAATTATCACCTGATTTTTGTATAAACCTAAACTTGATTTTTGAAGTTGAAACTCAAAAAACCTAGATGCATGTGTTTTTTATAATTATAATTCATTTTTCTTTCTCTTTTTAACAATTACACATTCTCCAATAAATAATATTACATTCGAATCTAAAAATTTTCCTCATTTTTTAACTACACATTTTCCAAAAAAGTACTATTTTAAAATATATTTTTTCCAAAATCTAATTAAAATGGAGGCCAAACCCTAGGGCTAGGTGGGTCATCTTGGCTCGACGATCTTGGCTGGATAGGCCTCTATTTTTTTAAGAAAAACTAAAATTTTATTTTATTTTAGTTCAGTACTAACTCTTCGGTATCTCCTTCGAAGAGCTCATTGATAATGAGTGGGCCCAAATAATTCAATGGGGGTAATAGATATATATATATATATATGAGAGTTCAAGTATACTGCATTGCCAAGGTTTATATTATATATGAAATGCCCTAAATTTTAAAAATTCGAAGCGTTACAAGAATTATCTTTTTAGTTGGGGCTCTTTAATGATAACCAAAATAAATTGTAAATAATAAAAATTTTGGATTTGACATATATAAAAATAATGGAAGATATTTGTCCATATAGACCTAGACAATTATGGTGTAATTTGATTTTGGAAAATATCTCAAGGAAATTCAGTAAATACCGATTGCGCAGCAATGGAGAGAAAAATATGTTTGGCCTAACAAATATCGACTAAAATTTATGAAATTTTAACACAGCCTATAACACTCATATACGTACAACATATAAAAAATTGGGGTGTCGAAGATATTGTTTGAAGTACGACAATATTTTTCAACTACGCTAAACAGTATTTTCGAAATTGACTGGACGCAGTCTACTAAAGTGGATAATTTTTTCTCTATATATTTTTAGATAATTCCAAAGAGCACTATTAGAAGACTCGTAAACCTTTCAAACCCCATTGATTTTACTGTAAAACATGCACTGTCGCCCAAGTTATACCATTTTTAAGTAAAATGACAGAATCTGAAAATTTAATTCAGCAGTAATTAAACTTCATGCATAGTCAATCCAACATTTCTAAATTATAGTTGACATGCAATGTATATAAAAACTAGACGAAATAGACAATTGTTTTTTTTTTTAAATGTCATCTAAGTGTTCATAAGATTTTCATAATTGGAAATTTTAATAGAAAGTTAAAGAGCATTTGAAATCGCTGAGCACTCACCACTATGCCAAACAACTGCTATGTCTAGAGGCTTGAATTAACCTGTAAATTTAGTAGGAATGAGTACCACAAGTAATACTCAGCAGGAAAAACAATATGTTTTCTAGAAATGCAAACTTTTGTTATTTGTGTCACTATCAATTGCAAAGGGAATTGGTGATCAGACAGTTCTCTTACTCTTAAGTTTCAATAACCCTTTTCAAGTAATAAAAATCATCTCTTCATCCTTTATTTGAACCACCAAATGATGCCTCCATTTTCTCATAAGTAACACAATAACGCGTTTAATGAAAATCGAAAACAAATAATTTTTACTTCACCTACAAAAGTGCAAAAAACACCATACCTTAAACAATTGGAATTTGAATATCTTTTTGCATCCAATTTGTAATAAAATGCAGCATACTCTTAGCCTTTTCTTCAGCAAATTTTCAAATTCAATTTTATGTATAACACCCAAATTGATAATAATGCACAAGCTCCCTAGAAGTCATCTCGAAGACAATCTATATTTTTTCGACTTGGAATTAAAACTTCTGATCCAATAGATGAACCTAAACCTGAGTCTGAAAACTCTGCCACAACATATGAACCTAAACCAGCCCCACATACATTTGAAGAAGGAGGACAAGCTACTGTGGATAACTTGAAGCAATTAAACTTGGGGATTGAAGAAGACCTGAGACCAGTGTTTGTAAGTGCTCTCCTCGATCAAAAAGAGGAATCATAATACATCAATTTGCTTCAAGAATACAAAAATGTATTTGCATGGTCTTACAAAGAAATGTCGAGGTTAGATCTGAGGGTTGCAGTACATCACCTTACAGTAAGACATGGAGTCCGACCAATCAAGCAACCTTAAAAAAGATTTCGGCCAGAACTGATTCCACAAATTGAAATAAAAGTCAACAAACTTATTGAAGTTGGATTCATACGTGAAGTTAAGTACCCAACTTGGATCGCGAATATTGTT